TTCAGGTTCGAATGCTGTACTACGCAACAACTACTCCTGAAAGCCCCCGTGCCATTATAGGATGGGTCAAATGCAGAAGACAACTTGCCCTAAGAGGATAGATGAAGCGTATGTTTTTTTTTAGAATTCCTAATGTTGTTAGAAAACATTCTATATTTTGCATTTTTCTAAGAAAGGGTTGTGTGAGGAAATGCTTGGGCTAAGAGCTGATTGATGGTGGTCCTGTCTTTTTTAAATCTTCTGTCTGAAAACGCTGATCTAATTATGGGACAGAGGCCAAAAATTATATGCAAGACTAAAACAAGGCTGTTTTGATAGCGAGGAACTAGTGGATGGAGATTTGTTATTAGTTATGTATTGCTTTGAAAGTTAGGTACCCCAGCTTTAACCCTTTGGGCGCCAGAGGTTTTCTCCTAAGAAGCTTAATTTTGACATCCTAATTTCTTAAAGATGATAAGAGATAGAGGCTTTGTTTAAATTAGGAAATTATAAAAATGGCCCAAAGTTATTGTAGGAATTAAATGTACCCTTCTAATGTGCATATTATGACTTCATATGGTGGTGGCAATCGTGGATTTTCAAGAAATTTACTTTTTGATTTTTTACAAAAAGACAACCACTAGGACATGAACACACAAACAGAACTCAGATCGTACTATACTCAAGTGTCAGAAAAATAACAAAAGAGTCCAAATTATTGTGTGGCAGGAGTATGTGTCAAGCAGGGTGTCAAAATTCATTCAATCTGCCGTTTAAAACAATACTGTATATTGTCGACTTAAGTCAACCGAGGCGCCTAGAGGGTTAAATTAGTGAAACCTTTTGCCAATTACCACCATGAATTTCTCAACACGGGCCAAACAGGACAGAAAGATCAGTGAAAACAATAGTGCTTGATTCTCATTTTGTTGCTAGAAAACTGAAACATATTCTCAAGGCTTTACTTTTCATGTCATGTATTGTTTTTGACGCTTTGCAAATCAACATAATTCAGCCCAGGCTACAAGACCCATCTATGATCTAGGAATTGATTTCACGCAAAATTTCGAAAATGTCTTCCAACTGAGAATCGCTAGGCAACATCCAATGATTTCTTATTATTCTTAAAAACTGAAGGGCCCCATCATTGTTTTGAGAAAAGTAAAACCGCCCTGAGCCTTTGGGGACGGATACAAATGTCCAGCCGCGCTGTATTGAAGCGACCAAAGTTCTTCTCTGCTGGGATTTCAAACATGAAGATGTCAAAGTGCACTTGTACGATTTGGTTTCTACATTGGGATGGAAGATATTTTAAACTAAGGAGATTCTATTTAAAGACACTAGCTGGCACCAAGCCAAGAGGTTTTTCCTGAGGCATGGGACCTTTGTTGAATGAAAGCTTACATTACAGTTGTAGTCTATACAAACTGTTTCTAGATAATTATGATCTCAGAAGGGCATCATCTAATGAATATTTTCATTTCAATAAATCTAGTGATATCCCTTTCTTTAACCGATTATTATTTAGAGTGCAGACTTTAGGTTTCTATCTAAGTTTGACAGCGAAAAAGTGTAAGTGAAGCCCCTGGAGGACATTCAATTACAGTGTTCCCCAACCTTTGTGAGCTGTGGCACACCTTTTCCATCGAAGACAATCACATGCCACACCACTGGCTGAAACTAACTGACACATTCAATTCTGCAGCCTTTATTCTTGAATGCCATATTACGACTTTTCTACACTGCTATTTGGCCTTCATACACATTCCCAGAGTAGTTTCTGTATTGATTCCCTCAATCTTTTGTTAGAGAGCAGTCTTTATCTTTCATTCTCGAGAGGCACAGAAGTGAGTCGTTTCAAATCGTGATCCGCACCAATCTGTGACGTCAAAAGCCCGCCTCCAAGTGATCGACAGCACGGAGAAACTGAACCAGCAAATCAGCGCCGTCAATGATCAGCACATGCAGCCTCTCTCCGAGTTAATACATGTCTGTGCTATTCTGTGTTAGCTTCATGTCAACTTGGAGAAAATGTGTTTTTGGGTGTAAATATATGACGAAATTGTTTGGCCAGAAGACAGAGAATGAGGCAAATGGTGATTGACATTGTTCACGGGGATCTGCCTCCACAACGAAACTCGAACATGACAGTGACACCACCAAAGACTGTTCCAGAACTACAGTTACCTTGAAACGGGACCTACTCAAAAGCTGATCTGGAAACCTGGAATTATTCCCAACATGAAAGACGCTAAAGTCTTTCATGAGTCCGGCTTTAGACCCCACCACAGCACTGAGACTGCTCTCGTTAAGGTTACAAACAATATCCGGCTGAACACTGATGCAGGCAAAGTCTCAATCTTAATCTTGTTAGATCTAAGTGCTGCCTTTGACACCGTCGACCATGAGATCCTCTTACAGAGACTAGAGGACTGGGTTGGCGTCACTGGCACCGCCCTAAGTTGGTTTGGGTCTTACCTTGAAGACAGGAAGTACTTTGTGGAGATTGGAAACTGTGTCTCAGATCATATGGCCCTGACCTGTGGAGTCCCACAGGGGTCGATCCTGGGACCTCTTCTGTTCAATCTCTACATGCTGCCGTTAGGTCAGTTAATACGCAGAAACAAAGTTTCCTATCATAACTATGCAGACGACACTCAGATCTATGTCTCACTGACTGCAGGAGAACATGGACCAGTGGACTCACTCCTTCACTGTATCCAACAGATCAGTGAGTGGATGCAAAACAACTTCCTTCAGCTAAACGCAGACAAAACTGAAATGATTGTCTTTGGTCCCCAGAAACAAAGAGAGAGCGTCATCTGTCACCTACAGTCTCTCTCCCTAAAACCTTCAAACAAGGTCAGAAATCTAGGGGTAATACTGGACTCAGACTTAAATTTTAATAGCCACATCAAATCAGTAACATCAGCAGCTTTTTACCATCTAAAAAACATTGCCAGGATCAAAAACATAGTGTCTAAAGCAGACCTGGAGATTCTTATCCATGCATTTGTCTCCAGTAGGTTAGACTACTGCAATGGCCTGCTCACAGGTCTCTCCAAACAGGCTGTAAAACAGCTGCAGTACATTCAAAATGCAGCAGCCTGAGTCCTGACTAGAACCAGGAAGTACGACCACATTAGTCCAGTTCTCAGGTCTCTGCACTGGCTTCCTGTGGCTCAGAGAATAGACTTTAAAACAGCTCTGCTTGTGTACAAGTCTCTCCATAGCCTCGCACCAAAATATATTAGTGACATGTTAGTCCCATATGAACCAGCCCGGACTCTGAGGAGCACAGGGACTGGACTCCTGTTAGTGCCCAGAGTCAGAACTAAACATGGGGAGGCTGCTTTTCAGATTCATGCTGCTAAAATCTGGAACAGTCTTCCTGAAGATGTGAGACAGGCCTCCTCTCTGACAATGTTTAAAATCAGGTTAAAGACAGTTCTGTTTAACTGTGCATACAACTGAGGGATTTTATATTTTTATCTTTCTTTTTAATGTTCTGTAATAATTTTTGATTTTAATGCTTTCTTGTTTTGTTCAGCACTTTGAATTGCCTTGTGTATGAATTGTGCTATATAAATAAACTTGCCTTGCCTTGCCTAACAGGAGCCTTGGTCGGTGACTACAATGCAACAAACTCGCCGTATGTCACTATGAACTAAGTAACTATAGTGCCTGATTCTGGATCGAGGACATAGGGCTCTGTGACGGTTTGTCATTGTTGGAAAAAGTTTATTCTCAGGTCTGAAATGACTTTGTAACATCAAAAGCTGCACAGTTAGCTTTCGCTGATTTGATTACCTCGGACTTAGCAAGAGGCTACATCACCGTGCGGGCGGGGGGACGCGGGCTCACAGGCAGAAGAGCACAGATCCACAATAGAAGTGACATGTGCACGAAATGCCTATAATTTGACGTTTAAGTTTTGAGTGTTGAATGATGTATCACTCAGAAAATCACACATGTGCTCAGGAAAGCGAATGGCACCTTTAAAACTCCAATGTCAAGTGCAAAAAAGTTTTTCTAATCTTCTCACATTATTTGTACGTTACTTTGACCAATGAAGTGATGTTGTATCCTTTCTAATGTCACGACAAACAGCATCATAAGACATGAATTACTAAAATAGTTGTGATATTGAAATAACTTGATTAGTTACTTTTAAAGAGATTCATTATCAAAGATCAAGTAAATAAAAAAATCAGAGAGAGATACAAGAACACATACATACACGTCCTAATAAATCTATACATTTGCATCCATTATTTTCATGATTATTATGAAGTATTTTTATTGAATTTAACATTGATTTATTATGGCTAATAATGAAATATGATACATCCTTGTATCGGGGGAAAAGTGAATGACGTTAATCAATGTTGCAGTGGACCTCATGCAACCTATTGGAGATGCAAAATTGTTCTAGCGTGCTCCATGTTTTTCCCAAACAGTTTTTTATTAATGAATGAGTACTAGAAAGATTATCCTCTTAGTATTGCAGTCTTGTAGTGTTTTATTATATCTCAGTAGTGGGCTGTCAGTGCTTGTTAAGTGATGCGTCACAAAGGTGCGGTTTGGAGACCCGAACGCCTCCCCCGTTTTGTCCATGTAGTCTGGAGCATAGACAGTCTGGAGGCGCACTGACTGACTTGTGAGAGACGCACGCAGCCTATTTTCTCTCACACACTTCGGATCCACTGCGCGCGTCCCCTCTCCTATTCCCTCCGCACATGGATCGAGTTCAGTTGTTGTTTTGCTGCTTTGATGTGAACTAAATGTAAATCCGCCGGACAGCACAGAGAGCGGAGTTGGCAAACACCAAATATGCGCGCAACTGGAGCGCGCTGCTGGCGAGGCGTCCCTTACATCGCCACTGGGATTGTGCTGTCGTAATGTTCAATACTTCGAGATTTGAGCTCACTTTTAACAAGAAAGAGGATAATTCAGAAGTTATCAATGGCTCATCTTTGCAGCTTTTGTACAACGTTCTGGTCACTATTAGTCCCACCGCCATGTGGAACGAGTCTTGCGGGGAAGAGTTGCAGGAATTCAGGCGCCCGGAGAAGATCATTATTGGGGTGTTGCTGGCAATGATTACGGCTGTCACGGTGATGGGGAACACGCTGGTAGTGATCGCCGTGTGCGTGGTGAAGAAGCTGAGGCAACCTTCTAACTATCTCCTGGTGTCTTTGGCGGTGGCAGACCTGTCCGTGGCAATAGTTGTGATGCCCTTTGTCATAGTCACAGATCTCACCGGGGGAAAGTGGCTCTTTGGAGAGGTCTTCTGCAATATCTTCATCGCCATGGATGTAATGTGCTGCACCGCCTCCATCATGACTCTCTGTGTCATCAGCGTTGACAGGTAAGTTGTTAGTCGCTGCTGTCACTTCACATTGTTTGGAGTTTACGCACAAATTACGCGCGCTGAAAGCAAAAAAAAGCAACTCACGCTCAAAGCCCAGCTGTCGGATTAGAGCAGGGGAACATCATGGATGGAGTGCTGTTACATTTCACAAACTTTGAAAGCCACACAACCCAAATATGTGATACGAATTTACGGTCTAAAAATAGCCAATTCAGATTTCAGATGTCTAGCAGCGTAAGTGGAACGACGTGCCCATAGATGACTAAAACCGATTGCCAGTAATGTTTACATAATTGACATTGATGCTGTGTTTATTCAAGCTAATAGGATCACCAGCACATAGCTCATCAGCGTACATTTAACGTTTTTTATTGAGGAATTGTGGAAAGATGTGGAAACGCAAAGTGGGCGGCACATGGATGTGTTGAAAATCCACCATTCAAAATCTACATAGGATATTCAGAGTTATACCTTTGGAAATCTGAAAGCATTCACTAAGGCCATCTGGATCCTCCTAGTGGCCGCGAAGCAAATCATTATACAAGATAATCAAATGAACGTATTACTATTGCCCATCCAGTACTTTCATTACAAAAGTTTGGTGTTGGCATACATAAACTGGCCCATTCAGGATAAGTTCAATGAAAGCAACATGTACAATTATCAGGAAATATATTACATTATAAAACTGATACCTCCCTTTTAAGAATTTGTCATAACATTGTGTTCCTCTTATTTTATTGTATTTATTTATTTTATTAAAACATGTGTTCCATTATTGGAAGTGCCTTTGAAAGGATTTGCTCAAGTGTGGTATTAAAATATATCTGGCATTTCAAAAAAAGTACTTGGTAAAGGGCAAATTTTAAGCCTTTAAAATATTCACGCCATGAACTGAACAAACTGTTAAATGAGAAATAAAGCTGCATTTTGTATAAACTTTGAGATAAAAGAATTGTGTCCTGTTAATCTAAGTATTATGAACCTTTTCTTTACATTATTGATAATAAGTCACATAAGGTTGCTCTGTACGTATATTTGTATTGAATGCTGAGATGATAACCCATCCTCACGATAGCAGTGCAGTCCATTAGAGAAGTGAAGCAGTGATGGCATTTTCTTTCCTGACCGTCAGGATGACTAATCTTTCATTCTATTTTCTATTTTCTTGGCCCGTATGGGAGGATTGTCCGCTGGTATTCTCAGCTTTTTCTTGGTTTACCCTAATACTAAAAGCTTAAAGTTCTATTCTACTGTCATTACATTAAAACTAGGTGTTTTTTTAGGGGACAGAAGATTAGTACAAAAACGTGTCTGTTTTATGATTGGGCTTCCCACCTGGGCAGGAGGATGGTCTCTTGCTTCTTGTATTATTTATTGTGTCTATGGCTTTTTTCAATAACTATACTTGAAACAAGGAGGTTTACATATGTCATTATTAATTTTAAAGCAATGGAAGTAACATGTAATGTCACTCAAGCCAATTTAGATCAAATAGCTGGTTAAATGTTTTCGTTATTACAGACATGCAATTGAAACTATTCACAAACATGATAATACATGCAGTAGGACCACAGATAGTTTTTATTCTAGTATTATTACTTCAGAAGTTTCCCTTTAGAGGGAGTTATAAATGGTTAATTACTTTTGGACTGGCAAGATAAAGTGGGTGAAAATATGTATGAATATCAATAGATTTTAGTGACTGAAAAATATCAAGAATTAGAATACAAAATGACGCTGTAGGACATCTCCATAATGACACTTATTACAAGAGCTGCAGATATGCTGCTCCATTGGTCAGAGCTGAGACTACAGAGGTTTTTGTGGTTACAAATTTGGATCCGGAGAAGTATTCTGCAGCCTTAATCGTTTGGCTACACATAAATATAGAACATTTAACAATGCTTTTATCTTGGTTACTGTCTTCATATACACAGTATGTATCCACTATACCTCTTGGTAAACGTCCACATTGACGATGCTGTCAGCTCTATCTGTGATTCATTTTGATACTTTGGCAAATGAGGTAAGAAACATAATATTCTAGAGAGTCTTTGACTGTAAAATGACAAAGGAAAGCAGAAACACATAATCACAAAGCCACGATTGACAATTGGCCAATTAGAAAGACAATCATGCGTAATAATGAGTAGTCTTCCGTGCCAACAAGAACACCTGTTGTTAAACGAAGCAGGAAGTCCTTAGAGGAATAAACCAGTGTTAGTGGATTTGTACAGTTCCCTCAGATCTAGTGCAGTGGAGCAATTTAATATGAATTGTTCCGAGTGTCTTTTGTGCTCACAGAGGAGATGATATCATACATTTGAATGGTGTACAGGTGTAACTGAATGTCAAAATTTGAGATGAAGGAGTTGCAGGGCCTGTAAAACCCAATGTGAGACTGAACTTTCTCAATGTGAGACTCCAACATAAACCCAAACCAACACAATTTATCAGTTTGAATACATTGCATACTTATATTTATATATTTAAAACAACAATAGTGAAAAGCCCTTCTATCTAGAAAAACCCCATCTCATGTGTTGCATTGTTTTCTCTAGTGTTTTACTGGAGTCAATATAAAATAAGACCTGGAGGCTGTGCTCGCTCCCACACCACCGGGAGGCTTTCAAAAACCTGCACACAGTAGACCCTGATGGAGTTCATCCAGCCATCTCCTCTTCTTGGAGGATCTGGATCTACTGAATCTTGCCTGTTCCTGGAACGCCTGGACCACATGCGTGCCCGGAACAGTTCAAGTTCAAGTTGCTGATGGAGGCAAACATGAAGCTCTAAACCACAAAGCACAGGTTTAAGACCCGGCACGTTGTGGAGACCCGCTTCTGGCACAACAAGGCGGTGACTGACAAGGCCAATCTGGGCCAAAAGCTCATTTCTGCCAACCGTGTAATTGTGAAGAAAAAGGGCCAAAGCATTACAGGAGCTCACAGCCACTGAGCTGCAATTAAAGCAACCGGCTGAGGACTTTGGAGAGATCCGCTGTCTTTACAACTCAGCTGTGTTTGACCAGGCCACTCTGGGGCAGGAGCTCAGCTCTGCTAAGAAGATGATTGTTAATCAATCAAGAGGAAAAGACAAGAGGGGCAGCACACAGAGATAAGTGATCTGCAGTTCAGTGGTCAGGTCATTGACCGTAGCTGTGGACAAGTCTGCAGCAAGAGAACAGAGCTGCATGAAAGCAGCCTCCGAGCAAACATCTGTAGAGACAACAGCTAAAGAGAAGGAGCCACTTCAAAGCTCACTGGTTTGCAGTAGGAGGTCTGCTGCCTCACAATAAAGAAGGAGAGCCTGAAAAAGCACTGAGGAGGTCTGAGGAATAGTGTGGACACAGGCCCCAAAGACAAGGAGTAAGAGACCAGAGGGTCCAGGCACCTCGTGCAACATCCTTCAAGCATGCCATGGATGCATGTTTGTCCACCATTTGCTCAGTCTACATAGTAGGGCTGAAGTTCAAGATTTTTGACAATCAATCAATGAATTTGAGATCAATAAAGTATATCTCGCAATTTGATTAAGCATTTGATTTATTGATTTGATTAATTGATTAGTTGTTTGAATCTCAGTGAAAATGACATTATTTAAACATTCAGTGACCTGGAAAACGTATAAAGATGACTTGTTATACGTGGGATGTTTGATTAAAAGTACAGTAATAGTTCTAAATTCATAATAGAATGATCATTAAACCTCTTCTCAGCATGGTTTAGTCTATGCAAGGTTAAAAACGGTTTGATTACTTAGTTAATTCATTAACTATTTTAATTACTGATTAGTTACAATTAATTGTTTTATTTGTTAGAGCCCTATACATATATTATTACATATTGCTTTGTTTGAAATAATTTAAGCATTGTGACCCAATATATATATTTTTTTGATTATCTAACGCTTTTTAGCCACTTGAAAATGCATTCCTATATAGTAACAGAGATTGAATCAAGAACGGTGGAACCCTAAACTCACAAATTACGAATACAAAGAAAAAACAAGAACAGAAGAAGCGGAATTTTACGTGCAAATTTAATCAGCCCTTATTCTAATGAAGAATCTAATGAAGTCTTGAAGAGTGAAAAAAATGCCTCAACTGTAATTCAACAGTGCCCGAGGAAGCCAGTTTACTCCCCTTTATATTCGTCATTGATTCTATGAGAGAAACGATAAATCAGAGGTCAAAGCTACAGGGCCTCAGCTGCACAAGGTCTAGCCGCGTATTTGTACAATATAGGGCACTAAAACGGATTCAGTTTTAATATTTAACGGGTGTTTTAGAGGGTATAGGCTGGAAGGGAAAGAAATGTGCTATGTATGTGTAAAAGGATTTTGATATTGTTTCTATATTTACCGCTATGTCCAGTGCTCCAAAAGCTTTGTACCAAAAAATAACAAATTAATAATTAAATACTTCTGTGATAGTAGTATGACCCATTGACATGCGATCCCATACTCACATATGCACAGAGCGTATCTCTGTGCCCAAATATGCAACAGCAGCAGTTTAAATTGGTCAGAAAGGAATGGACACATGTCACAGGAGAATATAGTACAGTAAAAGTAATGTAATGTAGGTATTGGTTTCTTCGGCACGGTGGCTGAGTGGATAGCACTCTCGCTTCTCAACAAGAAGGTTCTGGGTTCGAATCCCGGTCGGAACAGGGCCTTTCTGAGTGGAGTTTGCATGTTCTCCCCGTGTCTGCGTAGTTTTCCTCCGGGTGCTTCGGTTTCCCCTACCACTAAAAACATGCACAATAGGTATGAATGTAAATGAGAGAGTGAATGGATGGTGTTGATTGGAGCTGATGGTCCAGTGTGTTCGGCGACTCGCTTCCGTCATCACCGTGTGTGGAATGATTGGAACACTATCTGAACTCTGAACATAAAGCACCCAAAGCGTAAAGCGCTTTGGGTGACCTTGGTTTGTAAATCGCGCTATAAAAATAAACATTACTTACTTACTTCTTCGACAAAACCAATCGACAG